ATGAATGCATTTACCCATTGATGCATTTACTCTCATAGCACCTCTGTGATACAGAGCAATGCTATTCTCATTTTACAGATGAGGAGTTTAGTCGTGCATCCTGCGTGTGTTTTTTCCAAGACAACACGGGGTGTCTGTCACAAAGCAGTGAGCTGAACCCTGATCTCCCAAATTCTTAACTTCAGACCTTTCATTTCTCAGGGGCCCTTTAAATAATTCCAAACTTTTTCATTACTAGTGTCAGGGAAAAGGGCCATTAGATGACCAGTGTGGATCCTAGATTTATTCTCTACTATAGAGAAACCTAGACCTGTGCAGACAGCAGCCCAAGGAATGGCAGCCTTCTTTCCCACTGGATTTCCTTCCACCACCTTCAAAAAACAAAGACACAATCATTTAGCTGCACAGATGCTTGAGAAAAGTGGAATAACTAACTCAGTCCACAAGAGAAACCATAAATATAACACTCTTTACAGCAGTCTGAGAATAAATAGGTCTGAAGGGCCAGTCGTATATTCAGGTAGTTTGATGTTATTTTCCACAAACAGATTAACTGAATTGTAGGCATCTTGGTAAGGCAGAAGACTAAGCCAGGAGAACTAACTAACATAATCTGGGCAGCAATTTATGAGCAGCACTCTGCATTTATAAGAGGTTTTTAAAGGAGCCAAATGCAATTAGATGCACTGAGATTTGGAAACCACCCTCCCTTAATCTTTATTAACAATACACCCTCCACCTGTTGGTTTCACAGCATTTATGAACCTGATCAAGTACCAGCGCCCCCATTTGATAGCGGAGGCCAGGAAGCAATGTCAGACAGCAGGTTATGAGTACAACCCCATCCTGGAGCCTGGGCACTGAGGGTCTCATTTTAGGGCACTGTCCACTAGATTCCTTTACTACTGATGTACCTGCCCTGGTGCTCCTATTTTGTGATAGCAGTGGTGGCCAGGAAGGGCCAGTCATCCTCAGTGGCTTTCCTTGCTTCATAAAGTCATTGACTGCATATACATGACTGTTGTTGTTATTAGGACCTGCAAATTTATTACCACCCATTCGCATACAGCACCAAAAACAAGGATGGGTTGATGCCCTTAAAAGGGCTGTTGACTGCCACCGTGTTCGAACTCATTGGAACTGCTTTCTGCCCAAAAGCCCTTTCTTAACGTCATCACCAGTTGAAGCAATCACCTCTAAATGCAACAAATTCTGCTGTAGGAATTAGGGCCAGGCTCAAAGATTATTGAAGTCACAACAGACTCTTGTTGTTTCCACTGGGTTTTAAATCAAGGCTATCTACCTTGAACTTGTCCATGAGCTTGCAAGTGGCTTTGCTCTGGGCTCCAGTGATGCGGGTGCGGCGCAATGGTCCAGGGTTGTGGGTGCAGGCCAGTAGGCTTTT